GTCGGATATAATCTTATCCTTAATGAATTTTACAAAATCTTCAACGTTTAACTTAAACTTATATACACATAAATATTCAATAACTCATAATTTGAAGTCTTTATAAAGGAGAAGAGATCTTATTTTTACATAGCAATCATGTTTAGATGCAATAATATTACCATTTTTAAGCTATTGATTCGCCTAGAAGTGAATAAGCTATACTTGCTATGGACTTTTATTTAAACTCTGTACAAGAAAATTACTTGCATCCATCTTAGTGAATCCTTGATCCTGAACTAAATGGAGAAATTGACTTATCATTATAAGTCATAAATTATCCTTTTTTGTTTTTAACAATAAATCTAAAGATTTTAATGTGAATTCTTTATTGTCATCATCACTACTGTCATCAAATGTGAGGTCGTAATGGTCTACAATGAGCTCAGAAACTTCTTTTGTCAGAAATATGTCAGTGATCTTTTTAGAATCTGAAGCTGCTTTTCACTAATATGCCCTTTTGTTACGCAATGTTGATTGTGCAGCATCCTTATACATTGGCCTACGTAATTTTATATCTCACACACCTGACTTTTTTGTATTTTCAATTAATTGTTTTAGTGGTTACAATGCTTGCAATTGATCTGAAATTTCATCACTGTCTAAGTATGCTTTTTAACCTTCTATTCAAAGAGTATTAAAATACAATTCATCCAATTTATCAGGTTTATCATCTGATAGCTCATCATATTGGGATAGAACAGTTTCTTCAAAACTTTTTGCTTGTCTTCAACGTTTTCTGATAGCTTTTTGATTATGTTTGGATTGCTTACTTCGTTTTGGAATTGAAATTCTGTTAAAGAAATAAAAATTATGTTAAAAATCTTTTTAAAACTGTTGCAAAAGTATTACAAAAGTGTTGCAAAATTGTCATGAAATGCATTGATCACGTGACATGAATTATCACATAATATGAATTTAACCAATAAAATCATGATTTTAATATAGTAATGATTAGCATAAATTTCAGTGGTGGTTTATTTATTTGATGTGACTAAGCTATTTGCATCATAATACAATCTTTACTTTATTTTTTAAAAATCTGCTTATTCTGATTATAAAAATTTTTTATTGCATTAAAATATATTATATTTAATTAGAGTTTCAAATGAGCTGAGTTAACTTTCGAGTCAAATGAGTTGAGTTGAATTGAGTTGAGTCAAGTCATAAAAAATTTGACTCGTTTAACTTGAGTTTCAAGTTAAGCTTGACTTGACTTGAGATAACTTGAGCTAACTTGAGCCTAAAGTTGAGTAAAACTCAAGCACAAACTCGAGTCCAAAGTCGAGCCTAAAATTGAGCTGAAAAATTTAACAAATTTTTTTTAAAGAAAGTATAAAAAAATCATTCAGATAAAATAATATACATAATTCTAAAAGAATAATAGAAGTTTCGTTCTGATAGAATGATAAATCATCATTTTATAAGAATGATAAAAAAAATTATTCTGATAAAACTATAGTATATTATTCTAAAGAAACAATAAAAAGAATCATTCTGATAGAATGATTATGCATCATTCTAAAGGAATGATAAAAAGAATCATTCCAATAGAATGATAATGCATCATTCTAAAGGAACGATAGAGAGAATTATTCTAATAGAATGATAATGTATCATTCTTAAAGAATGATAGAGAAAATCATTCTGATAGAATAATAATACATCATTCTAAAGGGACGATAGAAAGAACCATTCTGATAGAATGATGAAATATATAGTTCTAAAGAAATAATTTGATTATCGTTCTGAAAGAATGATTTATTATTATTCTTAAGGAACAATTTGATTATCATTCCAAAAAAAATGATTTATTATCATTCTTTAAGGAATGATTTGATTATCATTCCAAAAATGATTTATTATCGTTCTTTAAGAAACAATTTGATTATCATTTCAAAAAGAACAATTTATTATCATTTTTAAGGAATGATTCAATTATCATTCTAAAAAGAACGATCATTCATTTATCATTCTATTAGAACGATTCTTCTATCATTTCTTTAGAATAATGTTTTATTATTCTATCAGAATGATTCTTCTATCATTTCTTTAAAATGATACTTTATTGTTCTATTAGAATGATTTTTCTATCATTTCTTTAGAATAATGCTTTATTGTTCTATCAGAATAATCTTTCTATCATTTTTTTAGAATAATGCTTTATTGTTCTATCAGAACGATTTTTCTATCATTATTTTAGAATGATTTATTATCATTCTATCAGAATAATTCTTCTATCATTCCTATAGAATAATTTATTATCATTCTATCAAAACAATTCTTCTATCATTCCTTTAGAATGGTTTATTATCATTCTATCAGAATGATTTTATTTATTGTTCCTTTAGAACAATTTATTATTATTCTATTAGAATGATGCATTATTGTTCTATTAGAAAGTTTTTATTTATCATTTCTTTAGAATAATTATTTTATCATTTTTTTAGAATAATGATTTATCATTCAATCAAAATGAATAACTTGAGTCGAGTTGAGTTGAGGTTTAAAATTTTTTTGATCTGACTCAACTCAACTCGATTTTTTCGAGTCAAGTTAAGTTTAACAAAAACTTGTTTGATCTAATTCATTCAGAATTATAACTCTAAAAGCGATTTCATTTATAAAAAACATTTCAGAAGGATTTTTACTTTAAGAGAATTATATGTTTTTATTGAAGGAAGCCATTTTGAAGATGATTCTCTTAAAGAAAATCATTTTTCAGAACTATTCAATCATTTCAAATTTTTTTTCAGATTTTTATTAATAATGTAAGCTTATGAGCTAGCTTATATGACTCGCGAGCTGGCTTAGCTAACTACATTTTATACTCGAACCAAGCTGATTTATGAGCCAAAATAAATTAGCTCAGCTTAAGTTGATGGTTGAGCTAGCTCATGTAAAGCTTTAGTCTCAGTATATGTAATTTCTTTGATGAAAGGTCAAAAAAGTGAAGCAATTGCTAGACTATTAAATTGAAGTATAATATGTCTCTAATTGTTAATTGTTAGGTGAAAAGTAGATAAATCCAAGAAGTCTTTTGCTATCTGATTAATTTTTTCACTGAAGGCATTACTTAAATGCATTTTAACTTCTTCAAAATATATAATACATTAATAACTTGAAACAAACAATGCTAAATATAAATGTTAACAATTTTTTAAAAATGATGTTATGATGAAGAAATTCTGATAATAATTTGTATTTGTTAAATTAAGAAATCATAGTATTTGAATCAGTAAAGATTTTGATTTAACATTTATAGGTATGACTATTATAACTGTAAATATTATAACTAATTTAGTTGCTGATAATGATATAAATAAAGCTGTATACACAATTGCATATAATAACATTGGTAAAGAAGAAGCAGTTTAAGTTAAGCTAATCCTATTTTTAGTGTAAGATGTTTAAATTAATTTGAAATTTATCTATATAAAATTCAAGATAAGAATATAAACTAAACTGAAAATGAAAGTTAGTAAGCTGAAGAATATGAAAAGGAAACAAATTGTTCAATAAAAAAAGGAGAAATTGGAAGGATAAAAGGAAGAGCAGGAATATAATAATGTAGATTATTATGTTGATTGATAAAATAGAGTGCTAAATTATATAAAAGCGCTATAGATCAATAGCAATAAGAAAGTGTTTCAGATCTATTTTATTGAGCAGAAATTTAAAAGTATAAGTCTTTTGAAATAGTGAAGAAGTATTTATTATCTTTATTTTTCATTTGCGATAAAACTAAGGTTGATTATTCACTAAACTCTGAATTTCATCTAGTAAATTTAGATAAAACTTTAGTTATAGGATTATGATATAAAAGGTATAATTTTTTTTTTAATTTTAATTTATTTTTATTGGAAGTTTTTAATATTTTTTTAATTTTTTTAATTTCTTTTTTTTATTGGAGATGGGAGTTTTTACTTAATTTTTAATTTTTATATAAATAAATATTGAATAATTTAATTTGAACTATCATTAATAAATTTTCTTACTTTATTTTTGTTTACTGAAGAGATTTCAGTTTTATATTAAAATAAAGTTATTCTTTTTATTTTTAATTATAATAAATAATAAAAACTTTAAAAATAATTTATATTTATCATTATAAATTGTTTTATCTGATTGATTTGAATACTAACAATATCAACTTCATTATATTGAGGTATGATTGTAATAACAAACTGAATTTTAAAACCTTTCTTGACAAACTTGCAGAGTAAACAAAAATACTATTTATGATAATAAATTATTGATTAGTACAGTTGATTTTCCTAATTCAGATATTGTAGAAAAAATGTGCTAAAAATATAAACATACAGGTATTAGGATTATTTCATGTTTTGGCATCCTGTACAATCCAAAAATTGTAGTGTTTTTATTAACATAAAAGCTACATAAAAACTGTATCATAGGGTTTTTGTAAGAAATGCCAAAATCTTACATACAAAATAATCTTAATGATGATTTATATCAGCATATCCTATCTGAAATATAAAATCATCCAACTGTACTAAATAGTTCAATAAATTCTAATATACAGAATGCTAAAATACTAAATAACATAAAAATAAGCATATAACTTAATAAATATAAAATATAGTATTAATAATGGTAAATAAATTTAAAATTTGTTGATTTGACAGTTTTAAACAAATTGAGGATTAGAACAGAAAAGATTAAGTATTTTTAAAAATCATATCTGAGTGATTTTAAACCTTTTTTAAGAAATGTGTCTATTTACAGTATGTTCTAATTTAATATAAAACTTGTAATTTAAATAAAAACCTTTTTTGTTTTTGTTGATCTTATAATTTCAAATATGAGAATTTTCATGAAAAATTTAAGGACACTTTATATTACTTTAGCGCGAAATTGTTAAGGTTCTTTCTTACTTTCCATAGATAACAGTTCAGATCTTCCTCTTATAATCATCCACTATACATATAATTTAGTATCTATGGAAAGATTCGTATACTAAAATTAAAGGAAAAATCATTTTTTTTATTCCAAGAAAAATCATATTTATATATATCCTTCCTATTTTAATTTAATTTGATCATTTATATTGCAATAATAAAAAAAAAAGGTTGTTGCAAATCAGGCTTGTTTTGCGAGTTAAACTCAGGTTTGCTTGTTGGCCCTTAACTTAGTGCGTAAAAAAGGAGATTTTGCTTTCGTAGGAGGTTTGACATTATACGAAATAGACTATAAAAAATATAAATATAAATATATAAAAATATATATATATTAGTTAATTTTAAAAATTCGGAACCTTTTCAAGCTTTTTGCCATCGCTTTTACCTTCATCGTTACAGTCTTTGATTTGAATCTGTCCGGGGTTTTATTCGTAAAATGTTGCACTTGTTCCGCCAATGAAATAAACGGGGATTTTGGCGAATGATCATTGACCACTTTAGAACGGTTTCCCACGTGAAATCTGAAGGGTTTGGGAATTGTCAAAATCGTTTTAACGGGTCGACGTTTCTAAATAATCGTAAATAAGAGGTTAAAAATATCTCAATCACTTGAATCGAGCAAGTAGCACATTCATACCTGAATCCCATTAGTTTTACGCGTAGGAAAATTTTTAACATTTGTTCTACGTGGTTTATCCAAACGTTTAGAAAAGTTAAATTCTTTTGGAATGGTGACCGTCGAATCTGTGCCGGATTTCTTTACAGGTTGCTGTTAAAGTAGATAAATAATTAGGGTGAGTATATATGAGAATCACTTGATTCGTCGCAAGTTACGAAATTATCCATACCCTAACCCTTTGAGATTTATTCATAGGATAATTTCTTCTAGCATGTGGTTTATCAAGACATTTAGAAATCTTTAGTCCTTTTGGAGGAACCTTCAGGTCTTTGCCGGGTTTTTTGAATGGTTGTCGTTTCTTAAAAAAGAAGAAACGATGGGGTGAGCATTCTATTAATCATTAATTCGTCCCAATAATTGAAAGATTAATACCTGAATCCCTTGTGAATGAATTTTCTTAACTTGTGGTTTATCAAAACGTTTGGAAAAATTAAATTCTTTTGGAATTGTGACTTTCTTGGCTCGAGCCGCAGCAGTAGTAATATTAATGGTTTTGTTTACTACTTTTTTTTTAGCTTGCGGCGCGTTGACACGATTTTTGACGGATTTATCAGCTCCAAATTTTACATTAGTAATGTTTTCAAGAAAATTTATTTTCTTTTGTTCTCTCAAAGGACTCTTTGTAGTGAGCTTTTCTATTATAACATCCCTTGAAGGACCGAATTGACCATTAAATTTAATAGGCGAAACCTTATCTAGTATAGATGTGAATGAAACTTTCCTTGACGGTGTATAAAGTGTTTGTCTTCCAATCATGGGACTTGTCAATCTTTTTGCAGAACCTAGAAAATATCATAAAACGCGCGATTTAAATCAGTAAATCATGAAATTCAATATACCTAGAAGAATTAAAGATTTGTAAGATTTGTATCATTTGTATTATACCAAAAAATGAATCTCCTTCACCAAAAGTTTCATCATCATTGATGAAATCTTTATAATGCGGTGCTAAGAAAGAAAATGTTTTTGAAGTGCCTGATGAACCTGGACCTGAACGAAACAAAGGTGGTGGTGTCTCTGCTTCTCGAGACATTTTCAAGATACTTTTGAACTGATGCTTATGTTCAATTTGTGCTAAAAGCGCGTAAAGTTAATAACTTTTAAAGTGTAACAAATATTATTTATGATACTTTTACGAAGTAATTAATTACCTACAAAACTACCGCTCATTAAAAATAAAACAGGAAAAAAAGGTCCCAATAAAATGAATAAAGAAAACGCGACATTTCATTTATCATTAAAAGAAAACACATGACTTAAATAATGATATTACCATTTTTAGAAGTCTGTGTACCAATTTTTATTAATATATGTATTTTTTGACAATTACGCAGCATATCTATTAAAGGTACCTCTAACTAAATAACTTTCAGTTACTCTCTTATCTTTTTTCTGTGAATAAATAGATTGAATGGCTTTAGACTGTTTGTTTTTAGAAGAGGTGTTAACCAAATGTTCTTGAACTTTTTGGTTAACAACAGCGGTAACGCTATTACCGCCAATTCCACTATGACCACTACTACTAGCAGTAACACCGACTTCTAATTCGATTGCTGGTTTCTTTAATATTGATTGTTCGCTATTACCTTCTCTTTTTCTCTTGTTACGTGAAGCAGATGATGAAGATTCAGCTATGACATTATCTTCGGCGGATTCTTGTCTTAACAAAGCCTTGTTTTTCTTTTTTTCTTTCTTTTCTTTTTCTTTTGTTTTTTTCTCCGCTAAAGCAATCTTTAACTGCTCTTGTTCAGCATGACTTGGATTTATAGTAATAATATTTTCTTGTTTAAATGGTTTACTGCACTGCAATCAAAAAGTAAAAGATTAATAAATCTTGAACAAAAAAAAAAAGCATTAGAAAGTAGCAAAATTCTTTCATATACCTGTATACAAGAAGAACTAGGTACTTCTTTTAAACCTTGTTCGGAAAATACACAACCGCAAGTTTCCAAATAAACGAATTTCACTTTTCCGTTCATTTCTTTCATAGTGATAGGACAAATAAATCTAGATACCATTCCTTGGTCGAAATGTGCTATACTAGCTCCATTTGTATCTTTAAATGCTGGATTTGCCGCTAATTTTAATGCCTTTACGTCCTATAAGTGTTTATTTTATTATTATTAGTATTTCTATATCAATGCACAAGCATAATCACCAAAAAAAAAGGAAAAAAAAACTTTTTTTTAAAAAAAATACCTTCATGGTTGAGATGTGAGAACAAATAGTATCACCGTCACCATAAACATTCTTATTTAATAAATATTCTATAACAGCATCTTTATTATATAATTTACCTAATCCACACACAACGACAGGTTCTTGTAATAACCTCTATAAAAAGGTAAGTCAAGTTAGAACTATTCATTTAAAATGACGATCTATATTTATAACAAACAAAATCTCAAAGGAAAAGAAAAATGAATTACTTAAATACCTTGGATAGGGCACAAAAAAACCAGGTAGCTATTTTCAATGCATTTTGATCTGGTCTAACTTCCTTTTGTTTTTCTTTAACAAGCTCAATACGTTTTGGAATTGAACCTCCATCATTACCCATCGTTGAATAGTATTTAATAAAACGGATTTGAAAAAGGAAAGTGAGATCTAAACAAAAATATATTTTTTTTTTTTGGAGAAATTAATTAAAATTGATTAGATTTTGGTTTAGAGAGAAATTAATTATCGCTTTTTTGCGGTGAAAAGGTGGTATTTATTCAAAAAAAAAATTATCATGGGCAATTCTCATGTGACTTCGATTACTAACCTAATTACGTTATTGTTATAACTTCGCCCAATGTCGCACAGAAAAATTTTTTAGCCGTCTGTCTCCAAATTCTTATTTTGCTGTTTATATAAGCGTGTGAATGCTTCAAGTATTCGATTGCTAGTTATGGTTAGTTGTAACAAGTAAAGCTCGTTTGTCTTAAATGAGTAGATTTATATATATTGGTGAGAAAGTTGTAATTGTAAACAAATTCAATAAAAAAAAATATAAATAAAAAACATGTCTATCTCTTCCGTAGCTAAAGGAAGAGTACTTGAAGAAGAAGCTTTGAAATTCTTGAGGCGCTTGGAAATCGAGTGCGTTTGGACAGGGTGAGTTATTCTCACAGAGTTATTTGTCGAGTCGTTGTGTATCCGAAGTTACGCTGCCACTATCTGAGTAAAATATCTGGGAATTGAAAGCTCTTCGTGGCCACATTATTTAATGTGAACGTTCTTCCCAGTTTCAGGTGTTCCCGAGTTTTGCTTAGGCACTGGGAATTTATGGTGAATAGGATACACGAATCAACGAATTGAAAGCACTTCGTGGCCACATTATTTTTAATGTGAACGTTACTTCTTTGGTTCTTGATGATGATGACGCAATGATACTCATTATTATTTATCAATTATCTAGAGGGCCGGGTGATAAAGGAATTGATATTAAAGGAGTTATTCTCGGGATTCCATTTGTGATTCAATGTAAGAATTGGATCCGAAATAATATAGGTATTATATTCATATATATATATGAATCATAAGTTAAATTTCAACATTTTAATATCAAACATTAACAGGTCGTCCGGTTATTAATGAATTAGAAGGAATACTTATTAGACAACGGAGAGATACGATAGGTGTTGTAGTGGGGCATTCAAGAAATAATTTCACGCCTAGTGCGATAGAAACGGCCAAAACTTCGATATACGACATTATCCTCACGGATAAGACAAACTTATGTAAAGATTTATTAGATGTAGTCGCTGGTCGATTAGATAGATTAGATAGATTCAATTTTTCTTGTACATATTTTTTATTTTCTTTATTTTCAACTATTTTTTGTATTAATATTTTTTATCTTTTTGTTATATAAATAATTTCTTATATTCAATAGTACAAAAAATTTTTTTCACACGTAATGTGCTTAGCTATGTACTAATGAAACATATGCAGTTCCGTCTCCTATATTTTTAATTGTTCTTGATTAGTATTTTTTCAGCCATTTTTGCATCCAGTTGGTGGTTGCAAAATCTCTAAACGGATAATTTTTTCCATGAGGTCATAGTTAACATTCTTTCAATACAAACATAATCCCACTGTATGTCTGTCTAGATTGATAGCATATCATCCAATACCTGATTACTTTGGGTTATTACTATATCGATTACTTTTGAATATTATCAAAAGTTTACTCTATTTTTTGTTCATATATTTTTTATTTTGAAGATTACAGATTTCTATGTAATTTTATACTGCTTTCTTGCATATACTACCATGCTACTTGTGCAAAAAAACCCAGACTGATCCTGGTGAAATAAATGAAGCAATCAGACTCTTCTCTGGTTTAGCAGACCTTGATTTTGAACCTGGTTATGATGATCATACATATTTTCAATATTTATCTAATAGTAAAAATGGTATCGCTCTTCTAGATGCCTATTATCCTAAAGAGATTTTTCTAAATACATAATTCGAGTATCTGGAAAGGGCTTTACAGTTGTTAATCACCCATCTGAAATTTATGGATCGAAGAATATATTAAGACCTTGTGATAAATTTATAAGTATTCTAATGGGATGTAGTAATGTCAGCTAAAAAAACTTATGCTGTAGGCGCCTTTGACATAATATTATTTATATATTTTTTTCTCATGCAATAATACTGGCTAACTTTAATTCTATTTCTGATCCTCAAATCCTCTAGTCTTGCAACTAGATGACCATGTCAGAGTCAGAAAAAATAAATGATGTATACTTACTAGTATCTGATTTGGCTGTAATAATGCCGGAGGTTATTTTTTTTCTTTGAATTTATATTCCATAAATTTCATATTTTTTTCTTAACTATGATCCATATAATTGCAAAAAGTAGTAAGGCAAGTATGATATATATTATCATTAGTAATATTAAAAAGCTTGTAATAATAGGAACAGTTGCTGGTAAAGATACCACTTCTGCATTACCTACAGAAATTATTGGGTCAAGAGTGAAAAGCTGTAATAATTCATTTATAGGCAGAGGTAGAAAATCTATTTTATTATCTTTTTTTGACACTAACTTTTAAAGATAAGAATTTTTTCTATTAAATTTAATTGTGCTGAAGATAAGGAATCTAACTTCTGTTTATATATGATATCTTTAGCCTCTATTTCTTTTTCTATACATTCTATTTCATATTCTTTTGAGAATAAATCATCTTTTGCCTATTTCAATTAAAGTCTAAGAGAATCCACTTCAGATGAATTTATTTGAGATGACTCTCTATCACTTCTTCCATTACATTTAGATCATGAAACACCTGTTCTAATTCCAGATTATTCAACTTTCTTTTCAATTTAACTACCTTAGCTTCAAAGAAATCTTGTTAAGAGATAAAGCTTTTCAGGCCAAAGTTACTTCTCATTTTAGTGTTCTAATCTTTGATTTTAGTCATTTTATTTTAGCTTTAAGCTCAATATGCATCTGTTCAGAAGTAATTTGGAATCTAAACACAGTATTGAGTGCATTTATCTGACTAATCTTATTTTTAGTATCAGAATGGATTTGTTAAAACTTCTTCTCTTGCTCTAAATACTTAGCTTGCAATTTTTCACTAAGATCATTAATTTCAATTTTAGATTTAAGTGTAAAATATAATTTTTCTTTGACATCTTGCTCATACATACTAGAGTTCCGCAATTCGATTTGATATTTGAATATTTGATTTGATTTGAATCAATAGTAAAGCCATTTCCAAAGCTTTAGGAGTGGCTCTTACTAAGAAAACCATAGTAAAAAACGCCTCTGCAGCTTCAGAAATGCCTTTTTACTAAGAAAACTATAGCAAAAAGTGTCTCCGCTACTTCGGAAATGCCTTTTTATTAAGAAAACTATAGTAAAAAGTGTCTCCGCAGCTTCAAAAATACTTTTTTTACTAAATAAACCATAGTAAAAAGCGCCTTTACTGCTTCGGAAATGTCTTTTTACTAAGAAAACATAGTAAAAATGCCTTCGCAGCTTCAGAAACGTTATTTTATTAAGAAAACATAATAAAAAACGCCTCTGCAGCTTTAAAGACGCTATTTTACTAAGAAAACATAGTAAAAAATACCTCCACGGCTTCGGAGACATTTTTTACTAAAAAATCTAGTAAAAAAACGCCTCAGCAGCTTCAGAAACGTTTTTTTACTAATAAAATTATTATGAAGCTGAGATGGTAGTTATTACTAAGTTTTCTTAGTAAAACCGAAGCTGCGATCCTATAAATAATTAGTATAAGGAAAGTATACAGAAATAATACGTTTAAAAAATGTATAAAAAACGTAGACAAACAGTATAATAAATTCGTAAATATTTCCATATACAAGATACTGAAAATTGACTTTTTCCGTATGCAAAAACATAC